CCAGATGTGACACATTCATTTTTATATGCATTTCATAATAAGTTGGTTTGAAATACAGTGTATAAGTCAATGAAAAAGTCTCAAGAAACATTAATCTTCCCAGTAATTTTTTTGCACTTAGAAAAAAAATGTATATCCACCCACTTCTAAAGGGAATTTAATTTCACAGAAAATGAGATCCAAAAAGTTTTCCTTCGCTCCAACTTGCTAGTATTTAGCAGACGACGTTATATCCCCATGAAAGAAATCAGATCGCGTAAAACCAATTTTCTTTTCCTTTTCGCTCGACTCTTCGTCTTTTATATTCTGGAGCAGTAACCGAGTATCCTCAAATAATGTTTATGTCTTTACCGTTTTTCGGAGTATACACCGCCAACGCCGGAGAAATATGATTTTCGTAGGGGATGAGGATAAAAACGGCCTCCCGCCGACGACGGTTTTGATGATACCCAATTAACTCAGCAGTGTTTTTGTAGCTTTATTATTTAAAAGGTTAACCAGATTAATGTTAAAAGTTAAATTATTAAATACAATATAATCGAGCTAATTTAAATACCAATGGGTTTTCGATAGATTTATTACCATCAGTAAATCGTGTTTATAACGGCTTCTCACCTGGGCCCCATTCTTTTGTTGCCCCATCCGACCTTTTGGCCTTCTGACATTCCAGATCTGAAATTATCATCACGATTCTCGAAGTTTAAATTTTGCTAGGCGGTTTCCTATTAGCGTTGTGAACTGTTGCGTACATCGAATTATTATTATTATTGACATTATCATTATTGGCGATTTCGACTACCGGAGAGGCGTTCATTTAAGTAACATTCAAGATTTGATTACTTTTGGTGGGCTGTTTTAACAATTCGTGCATTTATGTATCAAAATAAAAGCCACTTTCCAAGCTACTACTATTTGCTGTATTTGTATTTCAGAATCTGGATAGAAAATGTATTGATGGCTCTAAAGGGATGCGCGTGATGCCAATATACCATATGCGCAGATAATAAAAACTTAGGCCAAAGACCCGCAGCTTGCAAAAGGTGGGGTAGTCGCGATTTCTATATTTTTTTAATTTTTTATTTCAGCCCTTAAGACTTTCAAAAATTAATTAAAATCAAATCAATTTTACATAACTTTGTTCAAATTCAAGCATATTTGTAAAATTAACTTAGATTTTCAATTTTTTCTGGAATCACAAAATTCATGTTTGTTGCAATGATATTCAACACAACTTTAAAATGTCGCAATTTTTGTTTTAACAAGTTAAAACATCACTAATGATAATAGCCATATTAAAAAAACTCTCCTTAAAGTGCAAAAGTTTTATTTTATTTAGGTAAATATTAGTAGAATTTTGATATTTTTTGAGCCACCCTGTATGCTGTTTGACTTGCAACCATTCTGAGTGCACCTAATATGATTATCAGACATGCACCAACTTTTGGCCTTGTTTGTATTTTGATTGTGTTATTACTAAAAAAAAATCCCATATGTTGCACACTTAAGTAATGACACTGTATATTACATACCAAAATACAACAAAGCCATTTGTGTATTTTGTTCTGGAATCTTATTTATTTATGGAGCGCTTAATACTCATTTCCTTATGAAACACCGATACTAAAATACTGGATAACCATCGGCATTGGCTCCATCGCAAAACAATATCTTCTTGCGAATACCAGGAAAAAGCAAGACAGTTGAAAAACTGTACCTATTCATCAAACTGCTTGAAACAAAAGGATCTCTCAGAACATATTTTTTTTCTCGACGCATTCAGTGGATATGACACGGCGATTTTCAGTCACGAAAAAACAAAATGTTCACAACTTCTACAGAAAACCCCAAATCTTTGTGTAGATGTCAAAATTTTCTGGGAAAAGCAGAAGATTGGGGTTGGAAAAAAACTGTTAATGAATTGATGCCAATTGAAATGCTCATACAACTGCAAAAAAGGTTGTACCGGAGTTTGTGGATGTCGAGAGCTGGCCTCAAATGTTCCATTGTTTATGGATTTTTCAATGGACTAGCCTGTGAAAATCGAGAACAATATTTTTCAATTGAGAGTGCAAACGGAAACGACACAGGCGTAGAAAATACAGTTGTAGAATATGAGGATTCGTTGCTTTAGGTAGATTATAATATGTAGTATGGCTAATAATGAGTCAGGAACAGACAAATATAACAATACAGAACCAGAGGATAGAAAACGTCGAACATTATATTAAGGGTCATGACATCAGACTAGGAAAATCAAACCTGCACTGGAACTATGTAACGAATAGAGATCGTTATCTCTAACGCTATGGCACTTGGTATCTTCTTCTCTCTTTTCGAAATCAATAGAGAAGGGACGTCAATAGAGATAGAGAAAATATCTCTATTCGTTACATAGTCCCAGGGCAGAATGCTGAAATAAAAAGAAAACCACAATTAACATGGGTCGCTTTCGGCAAACTAACATGCATCTTGAAAAATAAATTCATTCCCATAAACCTAAAAAGAAAAGTATACGACACTTGCATATTACCGGTGTGTACCTACGGATTGAAGACCATGTCTCTCACCAAAAAATCCGCTAAAAAATTGGAAACCACTCAAAGAGCGATGGAAAAAAACATGCTTGGAATATCACTAAGGGACAAATTTTGAAACACCGGAGATAAGACACAAAACGAAAATCAGGGACATTGTGGAGGAGGTAGCAAATATGAAATGCCGATGGGCTGGTCACATACCCAGATACGATGAGGACAGATGGACATGAAAAATCCTGGAATGGAGACCAAGGGAGACAACAAAAAGCATGGGAAGACCTCAAAAACATAGGTAAACAACATGGAAGAGACCATGAGTGGATAACTAGAGGTTGACATAGAAGAAAAGATAAATTATATGTGGATTACGTCTACTAAAGATACCTCAATAAAAAAAAGCCCGCCATTTACCAATGAGTATTTTGATGTTGGGTCACAATAAATCACAATATACCTACCCTTAGTACCTACTTACCAAAAATAAAAACGGCTAAATAATATTATATGTACTAACATTTAGTCATATAAAGTATACGCCAAACATAAATAGATTTTATTAGGTAAATTTCATCGTTTTTCAATCGTCATTATCTTAAAAACAGAACAAATATAGTAAAAATGCGAATTAAAAAATATATATTTCACTTTCTGTAACTGTAGCTCATTACAGGTAATAGCTACAAAAAAAAGTTTCAAATAAAAATTGTAGAAAATTCAATTTTCTCTATTTTTCTCCTGAACACTTTTTTTCTAAAGTTCACCGTTCAGCAGTTATATTGGAAAAACCATTTTTGTGCACACTAAATCCAAGATGTCGGAGGAAGCCGGTCGCGCCCAAGGTCGAAAACTCAAATTTTTCTTTAGGGCTTCAATCTGAATAATATATGTCAAAATCGCGACTACCCCAGCTTTTGCAAGCTGAATCTCTCTAATGACTGGACTAACTGGTATTTTCGCATTTCCTTAGCCCCTGGGTCTGCGCACGCACCCTCTATAAAGTCCCTGCTAATAAAATCCTCACTATAATTTTTATCTTCACACATCTTTTGTGATTACAATTTAATTTAATGATGAAACATGGAGAACAATATATATGATTTCCGTTTGCTTTTTTTAATTTTTATATCGCCAAAGAACTACATCAAAGGACGATGCACACTTTAGATGGGATTTTAAAAAATCCACGATTTTAATGAAATTTTGGTATGTTGTAGATCTCGATCTACTGATCAAAAATTCTCATGGGCCCAAGATAATCCTATGACTGGTTTCCGAAATACAGTGGCTGGTATGGGGCTCCCAAAAATCCGAGTAGGTAAATAGAAATTCTTCCAGAAAAGGTAAACTTTAATACAAAAAGTGATAAAGACTACGTTTACTTCACGCGTTGTATCCAGATACTAAGTGGATTGGATTAGGGTGGAAATTTGGAAAGATCCATATTTTCACAAAAAACGAGCAAAAACCCTCTTTTCGATGAATTGCAATTATTAGTGTTAACCCCTTAAATCACCCTCAAAGTAATTTGCAAGTGAAATGAAGCTCCCTAAACGGTGTATATTGTTACTGCCTATACCTTCCAGTACCATTTGTGCCCGAGACTAGGGTGGAAATGTCCATATTTTCATGAAAATCCTTTTTTTCAATGAATCGCAATTATTAGTTTTCCCCCTTAAACCACCCTCAAAGTTATTTGCAAGTCTTTTTAGGTACCTTAAACGGTGTATATCGGTACTGCCTATAACATCCTGTTCCATGTGTGCCCGACACTAGGGTGGAAATGTCCATATTTTCATAAAAACCCTTTTTTTCATGTATCGCAATAATTAGTTTTACCCCTTTAAACCATCCCCAAAGTAATTTGCAAGTCAAGTGAAGTTCCCTAAACGGTGTATATTGGTACTGCCTATAACTTCCAGTACCATTTGTACCCGAAACTAGGTGGAAATGTCCGCATATTTTCACAAAAACCCTTTTTTCGATGAATCGCAATTATTAGTTTTACTCCCTTAAACCACCCTTAAAGTTATTTTCGGGTCTTTTTAGGCACCCTAAACGGCGTATATTGGTACTGTTTACAACTTCCAGTACACATAATTTGTGCCCGAGACTAGGGCGGAAATGTTCATTTTTTCATAAAAACCATTTTTTTCATAGATGACAGTAACTAGTTTTATTCCCTTAAACCAACCTCAAAGTTATATCCGCTGGAGATTCGCACGTTAAAGGTCGTATTAAAAGTGCTCCGTAAAATATCATCAAATTCGATAGGTTTTTAGTAAAAAGTTAAGTGGTGTGAGGAAGCTACATTTAAGTGTTGCAAAAATAAAAAAATTGTTGATTTGGTTTGCGTTACATGCTTAAATGTGTATCATCCGAGCTGTTTAGCAAGAAGAGCCAATCATAAATTTATACAGCAACATAAGATATATTGCTCAAAGAAGTGTGAGCTTGAATCTATAGATCTGGATAAAATCAAGGCCTCTTCCAACGGAAAGGACGAAATAATTCTTGAACTAAAAGAACAAATAAAGAAGTGTCAAAAACCACTATTAGCAGAAATTTCTAAATTGGAAAACGAATTACAAAAACAAGACGTAGACCTAAAAATATATGAACAAAGTAAACAGCTAGAAGAATTAAATGAAGAAATATCTGACCTACATCAACAAAAAGAGGTGCTAGAGAAGAAAATGTCTAATGCTAAGGAGGAGTGCTGCAAATTTAAAGAAAAAGTGGAAGAACTGAAACTACTAAACACGGAAATGCTGAAAAGTCTGAAAAACAAATGTACAGAGAGGAAATATTTAGTTTAGAAAAACAAGTTTCACATATGGTTGGGGAAAAGCCGAAGTATGGGGGCAATCAAAAGAAGAGGGTTGATACCCCAAAAAAATCAAATTCTTATTTTGGGTGATGTGATGGTTTGGCCCAGAACTTTGGGAGTATTTTGGACCGATACCCCAACTCAAACTTTGTCATCTCCGCATTGGTTAAACCGAATGCACTGCTTGATGAAGTAGTGTGCAGTATTATACAATTAACTAGAACTTTTACGAAGAATGATTATGTGGTCGTAATGGGAGGAATGGCGAATCTACTGAATGGCATCAGAGTCAAAGAAGAATCTATTCAGAAACTAGAAGAAGTCTGTATTAATACAAATTTGGTAATTTTTTCTGTCCCACTGTGCTTCTAAATAAATTTATTAATGAACACAATAAAATGATCTATCAAAGGGTAGGCATAAGGAATTCTGTGAATTTTTTGCACTTCAATGCAATTGTTACTTCCTGGTATTTTGTATTTAAAAATGGTTTGCATATTAAATATACTGGGAAAGTAATGATAGCAAAAGCGTTGAAAAACATAATTTATAGGAATATAGATCATACTGTAACTTTAGGATATAGAAACGATAGTGGCACTTTGAAGGACAGTTATGATAAGGACCAGGAAAAAAATATTAGGGAGAGTGATTTTTTATGACTGACTCAATTATTTTAATAAATGCCCAAAGTCTTGTCTCCAAATTTGAAGAAATAGATCATTTTGTGTTACGAAAGAAGCCACTTATTGTATGCTTAACAGAGACAAGATTAACAGTTGCAATTGAAAATTTTGAGATTGATATTTTAGGTTATCATATTGTTAGAGTTGATAGTGAAAGTCGCCACACAGGAGGTGTAGTAGTTTACTTGAGGGAAAACATTAATATTTTGGAAACAAAAAGGTATCAGTTTCAAAAAAATTACTGGTTTTTGGTAGTAAAAATTTCATTTAACAATAGGATTTATGTTCTAGGAAATCTGTATCATTCCCCTAGTGCTAGTGACGCAGATTTTTTGAATTTTTTCGAGCAATGGTGTGTTGGGATAACAGACACGAACTGTAATATAATAATAATGGGAGACTTTAATATTAACTGGTTGGCAAGCTCTACATATCCAAATAAACTTAAAAAATTTGTAAGCGATGCAGGCTTGTATCAGGTGGTGGGGACGGTGACACATCCTAGTACTAATGACAATGATGGAAGCATTATTGATTTGGTCTTAACAAACAGAAGGCATATTTTGCAATGTAAGGTTATTGAAACTCCTCGAATAAGTGATCATTTCATTGTAAGTACAAACATAGGACAATCAGCTGGCTTTAACCAGGAAAGTTTAACTATTCAAACCCGCGGTAGGATAGATTATAATGTGATAAATAATAAATTATCTAATATTGTATGGGATTATCGATGTATTGATATTAAACATTGTTTGTTTTACAATCATATGAAGGCAATTTTAGATGAAGTTGCCCCACGAGTTGAAAAAGTAATAAAGCCAAAGTTTAAGGATTGGTTTAATGATAGAGTTAAAAAAACAATTGAGAACAGGGATAATAGTTACAAAAAGTTAAAGGCAAATAAAAATCTAGATAATAGGGTTAATTATAAAAAAATGTAGAAATACAGTGGTAACAGTCATGAGGGTAGAAAGGGAAAAGTATTATCAAAATAAAATCGATCTAGCAAAAAATAATCCAAAACAAATGTGGAATACACTTAGCCAATTAATTTCTAGGAAAAAGAAAACTAATATCAGTAAGGTCAAAGTTAATGATAGTGTTTTGGTTGATACAAAAGAAATCGCGGATAATCTAAACTCGTATTTTGTTGAGAGTATTGACGATATAAAAAAAGAAAATTGACAAACATAACTTAGTGGGTGAGTGGAAACAGAGTGCAAGTGACGCTATAGAACAAAATTATATAGATACGTTTGATCTAATTGATTATAATGGCCTTAAAGAAATCGTATTTTCATTACCTAACAAGGGAAGCCCGGATGATATAACGTCAGAGTTTCTAAAGAATACCTACATTAATATTGAAAAGCCACTCTTGAACCTAATAAATACGTCACTGGAAATTGGACAGGTACCCTCTTTATTAAAAGTATCTACAGTAATACCGATTCAAAAGGTAAAAGGTACAATTAGTGCCGAGGAGTTTAGGCCAATTAATATGTTAGTAACTATTGAAAAGATATTGGAAAAAATAGTATATAAGCAACTAATGCAATTTATCTCAGCAAATAATATCTTAATTGTAAATCAATCAGGGTTTAGAAAGAACCACAGTTGCGAATCCGCCATTCAAAATATACTTTATGAGTGGAAAGATCTTTTAGATGAAAACTATGTGATAGGGGCAGTGTTTCTGGATTTGCAGAGGGCTTTTGAAACAATAGATAGAGAAACATTGATAATGAAATTAAAACAAATTGGCTTAAATAATAGAGCACTGGACTGGCTTATTGATTACTTGAATAATAGAACGCAGGTAAAAAAAATAAATAACCATATATCTTCAGAACTATCAAATACCAGCGGCGTACCACAGGGAAGTACATTGGGCCCATTGTATTATTCTTAATTTATATTAATGATGCAGTTAAAGAGATTAATAATTGTTCAATACATATGTTCGCAGATGACACATTGTTATGTTTCAGTTCGAATGATTTGAATCATTTAACTGAAACTATTAATTTGGAGCTTGCACAACTACACAAGTGGTTTAATAGCATGTCATTAAAGTTAAACATACAAAAAACAAAATTTTTGCTTATAGGGAGTGATACATTTCAAAAACAATTTAAATTGAGTAACTTGAGTATAAAAGTGGAAAACACTACTTTAGAGGTAGTAGAAAAAACTAAATATCTTGGTTTTATTGTGGATAATCATCTGACTTTTAAGGATCATGCATTGTATATAATTGACAAAATAACCAAAAACGTTAATTTTTTGTCGCGAGTGTCGCCGTTCCTGTCACGATGGTCGAAAGTGGCTGTCTTCAATACATTGGTCCTGCCACATCTTGTTTTTAGTTCATCTATACTCTATCTTGCCAATAAGAATGAACTGATGATGATTACAAAAACTTCAAAATAGAAGTATGCGAATTATATTAGCTGCAAAAAGGGATACACCCATAAAAAATATGCAAAGGGAACTAAACTGGCTATCTGTGGAGGTATTTTTACAATATCAGATATTAATATCTACTTGTCTATAAAATAAAAAATCGTTTAACTCCCAACTACTTATCAGAGAAACTTGTTACAAATGAAACTGTACATACATACCCAACAAGAAGCAAACACAATTTTTATGTAACAAAAAAGAATAGAGCAAGCGGTATTCCACAAGGGCTTGATTGTGTTTAATTCTTTACCTGATCATATCAAGAATATTTCAAAATTAAATTTATTCAAAACAAAATTGAAAAAACACTTAATAGGTTAATGATAAGAAATGTATTGGCATAAGGTTGAATTTTTAATTTAGGTCAGTTAAATAGGTGTAGCATAGGGAGCAAATTTGTATAACACTGTTTCTTTATTTTATTTTTTAGTTTTAAGTTTTTTTTTATTAGTCTTTTTTGCGAAATTGTAAAAAATAATGTATATTAGCCAAGTGCTAAATAAAGGAAATTAATATTATTTGCAAGTCGAATAGATCCTAAACAGTGTATATTGGTACTGCCTATAACTTCTAGTACCATTTGCGCCCAAGACTAGGGTGGAAATGTTCATATCATATTTTCATATCATATTCATTTTATTTTATTTTAGTTTAACTTGAACGTCCGATTTTTGTATAAAAAGTATGAATTAAACAGAAGGATTATATTTTTTGAGTACTCCCTGTAGATAGAAATTATCTCCTGACATCTACCATGGCCAATAAAAATAGGATTCAATTAATTTTGACACTTTTTGTATTAAAGTTTACCTTTTGTGAAAGAAGTTCTATTTACTCGGATTATTGGGTAGCCCTATACCCGCCACTGTATTTCGGAAACCAGTCATAGGATCATCTTGGGCCCATGAGAACTTTTGATCAGAAGATCGAGATCTATAACATACCAAAATTTCATCAAAATCGTGGATTTTTTTAAATTCCATTTAAAGTGTGCATCATCCTTTAATTACAAATAAAAATCTTGAAAAAATTTGCATACAAAATGTTTCTCTTTTAAATCCAAACAAAAAAAAAAAGTACTCTTATTCACAAAATAGTAATAATGAGAGCACAATTTAATTACTGCAGTCGCCGGAAAACTTTTATCCCCGCTTGCTGCACATAGCAGAGTAGTTAACTTGGCAAAATGAAATTTCTAGTATATATGCCAGAAAACAATAGCGTTCTCGTATGCAAAATAAAATATCGCCGACGACGTCGAGGCTGTTGAATAACGAGAAAAAAAAAAAGAAACAGTTGTTGTTGCGAATAAACGCAGTCATATACTTTGTTGGCAGTAATGAAGTCAGTGTCAGGAGGGGCAATTATGAATTTTAATGGGCTAAAAAGGTGGCAAAATGGGCCCCTATTAAATATTAATCATTCGTTCTTGGAAGATGAAAACGTCCCATTTTGTAACATGGTAATCGTCGAATTGTGTTTATTGTAATTTTGATGATTAAATGAATAAATACATAGTTGAATTTATGTATTATTTTAAAGATGATTATTTTAGTAAAAAGGGTCAACCACGTCCACCTGTCATCCGCGTTGATGAATAAAAAAGGGATAAATGCCGATTATATCTTGGTCACCTGCGCGTCTTGTTCCGAAACGGTAGCTTTTTGTATATCTTTCAAATCTAATATGAGTCAATTTGATATGTTAATTGCACACCTTTCAAATGTAATTTAAATTTATTATTTTGGCGTTACATAATAGGTTTAAGTATTTCTTCTTGATGATAAACAACACCTCAAGTAGCCATTTAATCTTATACCAAAAGAGAAAAAGTAATTTGAGATAGCAAGCCAGGAATGCGATATGACGCACCTTTCTATACTCACCAGCCGATCGTTCATAATTGAAAATTAGTTGGCATTTCCATATTTGGTTTTTGATCTACTAGCAATAAGCTTTTTAATGTTATTCGTCTTTATCATACTAATTCCAATATAACGCCTCTCTAGCTGTCCAGCAATAATTAATATAATTCTTACCAAGAGCTGTCTCGTTTTTTTTTTTTATTATTATTTAACTGGTTTCAACGAATATTAGTTACCTACTTAATAATCAAAATAAATACCTGTTTCAATTAATTAATATAATTTGGGATTAATATAGAAGTAGAGGCGTACAAGGACGGGA